GGAGTGAGGGTTCATTTCAAACATATGTTAAGTCAAACCGAAAGATTTGGGGCTATCGCCCTCATTGTACCGTAAACAAAACATGACGATGTCATACCTTCTATGCATCGAACAGAGGATGGCCACTTGTTGGTCAGATAAGCAAATGAAGAAAACTTATTTTCTGCATTTATGTCGTAATGCCTGATAACCAGGGATCACATTGATCGTTGTTTTTGTCACTGCCATTGTGGTCACTCTCCACGAATGACGAATAACATTCGCTGAAGTCCAGATCCCATGACTGCTGCGACGGACTTAAAAAATAGCCATCAAATAGGGCCAGTGACTTTCGGTAAAAAAAATGATGAAATGTACAAAAAAACGCCCGACAGAGAATGGTCATGGTAAAGCAGAAAAAGCGCTATGAGCATGTGCGAAGTGACTGAAAGCCTAAACATAGATCGAACTGTTCCAGATAGAGTTCTCTCATCGTCAAATTGTTCAAGATGATGAAGAATAGCGAAGTTCTGAAAAAAACTAGAGTACCGGCCGGAACTGTGTTACCAGAACAAGTGTTATGGAATTTCTAGGAAAGAAAAATTTGGATGTTGCAGCGCTTTTGGCAGTAATGAATGAATAGGTTCAAAAAAGGGGGGCCATCACTCCGACTAATCAGACGGCTCTAAAGAATTTCTTCAGAAATAGTAGTTGAAAGACGATGAGTTGAAAAACTTTTCTGACGGCTTTATCAATCCTGCTTTGCCGTGATCGATCGACAGTTGAAAACTGCTCTTTCATTATCTCTCTGTGGAACAGGTGTTGGCAAAGAGGAAAAAAGATGTTCGTTTCTGCCGCTGCTACTCTAAGTGAAATTTCAACAGCTTCGCGCTATTAGCCAAATTTTCGAACAGCAACTGTCACACAACGTGTCAAGTTCTCTTTCACTCCAGGGACAGATATTTCGAGATGTGCTGCGGAAGGAAAATTTTTGAATAATATCTCCAACAGTTAATATTCGGTTATTTTCCTACGGAAATCATAGCTTCCGACAATCTTGCTCGAAATGATGTCACATCGCTCTTGTCAACCTGTTGACTTGGACAATTGATCACGGACCGAAGACCACGGAGCGTTAGTCAAATATGCAACGAGTAGACGACTCCTTCTATACGACCTAAGCTCAGTGCCCAACACATGGGGAACTTTCATCTGGATGGCGCCCATTCCTGATTAAAACAATAGAGTACCCAATTGTCCCCTATCAACAGAATGATGGCCAGCGCACGGGAGAGATGCTGAGGTAACATCTACTCTTGGGTACTGTAGAGGATTTTATTTCTTGAAAGATGAGCGCATTTTTAGACTTGTGTTTACGAAATTAATGTTTGAACATCATTGTCGAATCATAGGCTGATCATTCATCAGATGACATTCTATTTCTCGTAGACACTGAATGCAGTCTCCACCGTTTCAAGACCTGTGTGTGGCCGTTGTCGACTACTCTTTGGAGACAATCCGACAGCCCATCATCAAACATTTATTCCATGGCGTAGAAACGGTTTGCAGTTAGCATTAGTCAACGATGCGAGCCCTTAATTTAGTGCTTGTCATGTAATATCTGGGTCGAATTTCCGATGTAGCAAGCAGTAATCAATGTCTCACACCGCGCTCCGATTAATCGCAGACCGGGGTACTACCGTAGCTTTGGTTAAGTGTTTAGACATTCGCTAAATAAAAAGTAAATTTAATGCTAATGAACCGTGCTGCATGCTGACTTGAGGGCCTGGGAATGATGCAGAAGCCCGTTCCAGTAGAGTGAGGTAATGGTAGCCTGCCACTGTTCAATGATATCTGTCCGTGATTAAAACCTCACTGCTTCACTTCTCTAATCCCGTTAGACTTGAAGGAATTTGGGGAGGTATTCACCTGGACTTGCGAGGTGAATTCACGAGGACTTGCGAACAACCACTCGCCATATGATGCCGCTTTCCAAAGTTGCTAGCCAACATCCGTGGATCTGATTGCACAGTCCCTGACAAACGGGCTTGCAAAAACAGTCGTAACGAGCATCGTCGTACTCGCGGATGGCGAGCATCTCCTTCAACGGTATAGCGACGTTTGCATAGAACGATCGAGGAATCCACAGCAAATTTATATCTTTTCCTGTTAGACTGAAGCTATCAGCCGTCTCCCCCTGTTGCTTTTATTTTTCAGTGCAAAATCAGCCGGAACACGGAAGTTTGTCTCCTATAAACGAACGATTTTATCACTCAAAATCAGGGGGTAGAATCGATTTCCTTAAATTAAAAAAATTATAATCTTCAGCTACAGAGTTGTATGATTATTCATATTGCATACATAATTATTCGTTGATAAAAATTCTTAATTAAAATTTGAATGCACATCAAAGCAAACTCCTACTATTACTAGATTGGAAAAGTATCGAACTTATGCTCATGATGGACCCCACATTGAGTACAAATCAGATAATGAAGGGGACGTAGCAAGGAACAACGTATAGATAATGCGTTACCTCGTGCGTAACATATAATCTCACACCTTTGCTACAGATCGTTATCCTCTGCTTAAGCGGTAGGTGGAAACGAGATAAAGAGCAAACCCATTAGATAAAACATTACGGGTATAAAATGTTACATGTTTCAAAAGCTGAGCAACTGGTCGGCTGAACAAATTATCTTTTGGAGTACTACTGAACAGAAGAAAAAATCTTTGGAGGGATTTCTAAACGGAAAAATAAGTGGTGCAACGATGATTGCCTGTCACTGAATCACTTTTCAAGCTCTTTGTTTCCAGGAACCCGGTCATTGCAATTGCCATTTATGCCTGATGGATCGATGGTTGTTCTCATCCCAAAGGTTGCCGAGTTTCGACTAGTCAATCACTTGATCATCGTTAGGATCAGAAAACGATCAATGGCAAAAAATATACGGATACTTGGAAAAACAGTTTTAAAATTTTAATTTTCATAATTAGGAAAATGCAGCAATAGGCATACTGTTCTACGTTTACTGATGAGTGATTATCACGGCCATCTGGAACTGCTAGACGCGCAGCAAGGAGCCGATATTGCGGTAACGAAGCGATTGAAAGATCGTAAAACGAGCCAAATGTAGAGTTGACCGGTAAACACAACTGTTCGACGAAGAATTTACAGTATTTTAGTACTGGCACCGAAACATGTCACGGAAGTATCAGAAATGCTAAACCATCAATCAATCATTCTTGGTAGCTTTACGCAACATAAACGGAATTCTCGAAAGGCGGACGCAGACTGAAACCACAAATTTTGTGGTTGTTCAAATCGTTTTTCGTTCTACTTTTTGTCCCTGGTGCTGTCTCAACACCTCCTACAATCAGAACAAATCTTTTTTATCCGATGCCTTATCGTCCACAATAATCGAATTACGACTTTGGAAAATTATGGTAGACCAAATCGTAATCGGGAAGGTTACAGAAAAGTATGATATAAAATGTCCATAGCAGCATAGGGTGATTTTCATTTTTTTTATCTTGAAAGGATTAAACTCGCCTACGTGATCATTCGAATAATTAAATAATGGTGATTCTATGGACTCACGAACCATTTAGAGGTGATGAAAGTTTATTCATCCTCTCAGTGCCAAATCTCCTGCATACACACAAAATTTGTGAAACTGTTTGTTCATGTAGCATGACACAATGCTAATCATCGTCACAATGCCCAGTCAGGAATGCATCGCTTCACGCTATAGACTATTGCTTTGTGGTTTCCTCAAAGTGGAGATTTTGCGTCAAACATTATAACAAACCATTCTCAAATTTTGCTAGCGTTTTCTCGATCACATTTAAGTAACTCGAAATTTCAGCCGCTTTTCACAGCTAGATAAAACACATTTTGCGATATACTCCTTCAAAATAGGCTGAACATATCGTTTGATAGACTGAAAGCCTCACTGTAATTGTCTCAAGCTACAGAAAATTTCATCACAATTGAAAACGAACAAAAAATTGAATGAATCTAAATTTTATTCAGTATTGAAAGAATAAACACTACAAAATCCGAACAGTTCGGAAAAGTTCTACTCGAAACAAACGTTGCAGAACCGCACAAACTTAGAAAAATGAACACAACATAGTAGCCATTACATGTCTTTAAACAAAACTTTGTGACTCCTTACAGCGTTGACGAACATTGTCAACGCAGCATGAAACAGCTGCTGCTACAGTCAAAAAACACTTATTTACAATTCAAGGAACAGCTTGTATCACAACCTGATGCAATCATAACATTCCAAGTTACACAAACAGGTTTCTGGTCAGGTTCAACGGTAACGTATACAAAATTCAGCAAAAACGCATATTTTATACAATATTTGGAACAAGAATAAACTATACACAAATCGTTGTAAATGACAATCATCCAAAAGTCGAGACTCTGTCTCAGACAAGAATTACTTACAATGGCGAATGCGCGTATTTAAAAACATATAAGCACACTACGAAAAAACAGTAACAACATGAAAAAACCTGATATTTAAAAACATTAAAATACTAAAACAGTTACTTAGCACCTACAGTGGGCGCGACTGCGTACCAAGCAGAGCGTGCCTTTTCTAGGCTTTTGTTGATAAGCGCCTTCTGTGGGCTGAGGCAAAGCGTCACTTTGTCGGTGAAATTTTCAGATAAGAGATTGGAAGAATAAAGGGCACCTGATGACCAGTCTATGTTCTTTATACCAAACGGGTCGTATAGGTGCTGGGTTCTAAGTAATGAATAAAATCAGACCATGTTGTAAAAACTACAGTAAATAAAAGCGCGACTAAAACTGCGCTTGAAATGAGTTGTGTACATGTGAGTAATATTCATACCTACTCTAAAAATGTCTAGTAAACACTGTATGATATGAAAAACAGTAGTTCGAACCTATATGACATTTCGGATCTTAAAATAAATAAACGGGCTACGGTAGAACTATCTATATGCTTATGCTGTAATACGAAAATCAGGCGAAAATATCGAATATTGTGAAACAAATTTAAAACTTTCATTCTAACATTAAACAGTAAACGAATCAAAATCATCAGATATAGTTTCTACTGCTCTCGCAGCGTCTCGTTTTAAGAAAATGTAGTGTCAAGAGTCACGAATCCACTCACGCTTCCTTTTTATTCACTATTATCGATCTGTCTTTTGTAGTGCTTGTAAGTGGCAATACTATCTTGCAGTAGTATTTTCAGTACCTTAGATTTTGGATACCTATTGTAGCATTTGTTTTGAAAGGCACAGATTAAAATATAGCATGGTTTTGTGATTATTCGCCTACATACGCTGGCTGCCATGGCTTTAACTTTCATTTCTCTTTTATAACGGTAATGAAGAAGTGAATAATTATATGCCAAGTTTCAGCGGCTAACCGAAGCATATAATAAACTTACGGAGAATCTTCTTTGCCGTCCAAAGCCATGTCGCAATGTTTGAGATCATTTTCGATCGAAGAAATAGAGCTGCATGATTCGGAGGCGTTTTCTTCTGAAGTTATTGGTTTTCTTGAAGTATGCCATAATTGGCACATCTGAGGACTTTCGCACGGCGGGTCAGCACTACTACTCCTTACGGAAGCAACATCACCAGCTGCAAGAGCTGGACAAGAGATATTCGATCGATTTGAATGGTAGACAGTCGACTAAAAATTCAAAATCATCAGAACGGTACACTAGAAAACTATTTGTAATCACATACTGGGTCGCTCACTACCATTGTCAAACTAGCACCATGGTTTAACTTTGTTTCCGGAAGTGATGCCGTAGTTAGAACACTCTGTGGGCTGCTGCACTCAGAGCTACTCATTATACGATCCGAAGTTTCAGTATTCCACGCAATAGCCTTGTGTGAATAGATATCTCCCAGAGAACCGCTTCGGTCGTTCATAGCATAACCAT